GGTGCCTCCCAAGCGGTTGATGTACCGTACCGCGGACACATTGTCCATTCTTAATAGTATACAGCAATTGGACTGCCCTTTTGTAAGGCTGTGGATAGCAAAGGAGCCGGCTAGCAGTTCGAGGCAATTGATATGCATCGATAATTCCTGTGGTGTCCACGTGCCCCCTGTGGACGTTTCTCCATCCGTGGCGCTCCATCTCACGTGACTCGCGTCCGATTCCAGGACGAAGTCTGGTTGACTGCCGAAGATGGCCCGACCATTCCAGGCCTGCATGCAGTGGAGCCACCACTGGGGTTCTTGATATACTTCTTCCAACAGCGGGACCGGTTGGTTGTATGTGGGGTTTTGGCAGAGGAGGCTGGCCTTCAGCCATTGCATCGCCCGGTAGTGAAGGGGTCCCGGAAATATGGCTTGTATTGAAGATGATAAGAGTCCCACAATCCGCGCCAGTTGACGGAGCGGAATGGAATCCAATTTGAGAACCCTGCGGATCTCCTTCCTGATGGCCGTCACCTTGGCGTACGGGAGATGCAGGGTGCAGGACCTGGAGTCGATCTTGAAGCCCAGGAATTGGATTCGTTGAGCGGGCGTCATTGCGGACTTGGCCCTGTTGACAACGAAGCCCAAGGATTCTAATAGTCGTACTGTATACGTAGTGTGCCGGATGGCCAGCTCCCTTGTTCTGCAGAACAAGAGAATGTCGTCCAGATAAATTATGCATCTGATCCCGCGTGTTCGGAGGTGCGATACCACTGGTTTTAGCATTTTCGTGAAGCACCACGGTGCTGAGCTCAGTCCGAACGGAAGGCACGTGAACTGCCATGGTGTGCCGTTCCAGAGAAAGCAGAGAAATGGCCGGCTGTCCGTGTGGATTGGAATTGTCAGATAAGCGTCATTGAGGTCTAAACGCGTAAACCAATCCCTTTCTTGGATAAATGTAATAAATGTATGCCCTCCATTTTGAAGTGGCGGTAGGTCACGAACGTGTTCAGTCCTCTCAAATTGATCACTGGCCGGAAGTCCCCGGTCTTCTTGCGGACGAGGAACATGTTGCTGAAGAAACCTCCCCTTGTGCGCACAGGTTCTATAGCGCCCTTTACGCGAAGCTCGCGGAGCTCCCTGTCTATGAGGTGAGTGTCCGCATCCGAGAGACGCAAAGTACAAGGGGGGGACCTTTGAACGGGCTGTGATCGGAGTTCGATTCGGTATCCTTGGACGGTCTGTAGCACCCAAGCGTCCGTGGACAGTTGGGCCCAATTCTGGGAAAAAAGTGGGACACGGCCTGCAATCATAGTTATATGAGGTATCGAACAAAGGTGGTCTCTTACCTGTAGGGAAGCGTGCACGGCCTCGTCCCCGACCACCTCGTCCTTTGTCAGAACCCCTTTGGTAATAGGGGAATGGCTGTTTGGTTCCGATGCCCTGGTAACCTTGTTGAGGGAAGAATTGATGTTGGAAGCCCATGCGGGGGCCTGAAGGCCAAAAATGGCTGGCGGCACGGCCCCGCTGCCGACCAGCCCTTGAAAAAACACCCTTTGCGGAGGTACCTCGGAAGACCTTACGCATGGACGTGGGGGCCTATTCAAGGATGTAAAGACATTTACGTGCTTATTTAGCTCCTTCATAAAAGCTTCACCAAAGAGCTTGCCCTGTGCCTGTGGGCCCAATTCTTTGACCCCTAGGTCAACCAATTTGGGGTCGATACGAAAAAGTGCTGCCCGGCGCCGCTCCGTAGAGAGGGCCGCATTCGTGTTACCGAGGAAACAAAAGCCCCTCTGGGCCCACTCTCGGATGTCGTGTGCCCATTCTCGCACCATGTCTGCCGTGAAGGAGTCCGCTCTGGCGTATGCTTCGTCCGCCAGGTACATGACTCGGGCCAATGGGCCCATTGTGTCTAGGAGTTAATCCTGCGCTCCTTTAAAACTTTTCTCGATCCCCCTCCGTGAGTCGCGGCCCCCTTGTTCCATAAAGGTCAGCATAAGCTGATCAAATTCCGGCATATAGGCCACCTTATCTGGCAGGGTTGGTCTTGGACACTCTGCCCGCATCCTCTTACGGATATGTTTTTCCAAAGGTTTTCTGATCCAAAAATGCATGAAGCAGAGGAGATGATCCGGTGGGGCCCACTCACCCGAGCGAGGGTGGCGAATCTTCCTGGGATCAAACATTCTCTGGCCTGTGGAGTCCAGGAATATCTCCTGCTCCTGCGTGGCCGTGGCGGGGGGTTCCGCATCTCCTTTTTGCTGGGGCTCACCCAGAAATGTCTCAGTGACGTAGGCGTTGGAGCCCCAACCGCCTACGTCAGAGTCGAAGGTTTTAGCCTGCCACTCATCCAGAATGGAGAGAGAGTGGGGCACGTCTTGCTCCTCATCTGAGGAGGCCTCCCCAGCGTACACGGGAGGTATCTGATTAGTGCGTTTATTGCGCTTCATAGGGGCCTTGCCATTGAAGGCGGCTCTCTTGGAACCTTCGCCCTTCCAGTGGCGTTTCGCCGGGCGCTTCTTTTCTCTAGTGGAGTCATCCGACTCATCGGAGTCTTCGTGAGCCTGGTGTGGCTTGTTAGACAGCGTGCTAGATTCAGTGGGGGCAGGAGCCACTTTTGCTAGCGCCTTCTCCAAAGACGCAGCTACCGCCGCGTTGATCATTGCTTGAAGGTCACTGGTATTAATTGTGTCCTCCATGATGTGGGCACTAACAGGCACAGGTATAGCTCTGAGAGGTGAGGGACAGTACGGGAGGGACTCAGGTTAAACAACGCTCAGCGGCGTGGTACTGGACTCCTAGTCACTGGGGCTCACCCAGGGTCACAGGGAACTGCTTTAACAGTTCCCGCTATGCAGCACTCAGTGGGGGCTCACCCCTAGCCAGGATATTGGGTTAAACCCTACTGGCATTCCCACTCCCCAGGGGCAATGACACCAACCTGTGAAGGTCCCAAACGAATTCCATCTCAGCAGTATTAAAAACGAGCTTGTTAGAGCTAGAGCCTTCTCTTGATAGGTGTTGCACTCCACGAAACCAATTACCCACAAAATGGCCGCACGGGTCTCGCGAGACTAATGGGCGCAAAGCCCGCGAAAATTGAGCCCTTTAAGCGTTCGTCAGTTTAGCCGCGAACGGCTGTTCGCCTAACTGAAACCGCCGAACGCTAAGTGTGGAACAAATCCGCGAACGGACTGAATTCCCTTTAGTAATTCGGGAAACTGTCCGTTCGCGCAACTCATGCGTTCGCGGCAAAACCCCGCGAACGGCTTGGAGGGCGCGAGCAGTTCCAGTCCGCCCGTTCGCGCCTTTGTAAGCCGACTGCGCGAACGGGTCGGGCTGCGAATGCCCGGCACCCTGTGAAGACAAGCGTCCCGCCTGTTCGCGCTACTAGAGCGCGAGCAGAGCAACACGGCAGGGAAAGAAGGTGGCGAGCGTAGCCACCCGGTGGAATAAGTGGGAAAGAAGGGGGGGGGGGCGGTCTAGCCTGACACAATTCCTTCGAGCAGGGAGAGGAGAGCTCTGGGAGAGGCTGTCCAAACTAGAGAGCCTCAGCCCAGTACCCTGCCCCAAAGTGAGCACAGCTCCCCTGACAGGAGAGGGTAGACCCCCTCAGTCCCCCCTGACACCCAATACACTAATACCAGCAAATAAAACAGTAGAAAAAACAACAAAGTACAATTAAAGCAATAACACCTTAAAGAAACCTGACAGGAATCTTAAAGAAATCAGTACTCTGACCTGACTTGTGATGGAGCAGCAAAGAAAGAGGAAATGGTTGGCTACGCTGGGACTTATATATCCTCTGTTTTACTCTGATCGGTTCTTTCTTTAATGGTTTTTTCTTTGCTGCTGTGGAGCTAGTAAAGAAAGTTAATGCAAATACGAAGCCTCCTGTCATGTTATAAAATTTGGAACAGTGCATTGTAAGTTTTTTTATGTTTAAAAAAATACTGTTATCTTTAGGAGGTTTGTTCAATAAAATTTGAATTGTACTTTTAATAGTTGATAACATAAGAATTATGCTGACTGTTATTTACATCAATTATTTAGTTGAACAGGGTTCAGACACACACAGACACATACATACAGACTGTATGTGTGTGTGTGTCTGTGTGTATGTCTGTTGGGGCTGTGTGTGTATGTGTCTGAATGTATGTGTCTGTCTCTGTCTGTGTGTATGTATGTGTGTGTCTGTCTGTGTGTATGTGTGTGTGCCTCTATGTATGTCTTTGTCTGTATGTATGTATATGTTGGTGGGATCGGGGACGGGACGGATTGGGGGGAGGACCAACAGATTAGTTTTCGCACCGGGGAGCAAGGACTCTGGTAAACTGGAATTCATGTGAACGAAATACACCGAACAAACTGTGCCTTTTCAGCAAACTGCATTAATTGCATAGATCCTGGGGACAGTGTTAGTTTGCAGGAGAAGTGGCCCCCTGGTGTGCAATGCACATATAACACAAAATCACTTTGTATGTGTATTTATCCTTGTGAGTGTTCATTTGGTTGTTTTAATATTGTCATTTTTATTAAATACTGCACTATGTTATTATGCTTTTATTATTATTTTCTCTCCATATATGAGTCACTTTTATACATTATCTTGTGATATTGTGACTCTGACCAGTGTTAAAGCCTTTTAAGGTAACACTGATATTGATATTGATATGGTATTTCGCACAAAATTGTGAATTTGCACAGTGCACATTTGATATTAACTATCAGCTTCTCACAGGTTGCACTCCTGTCTGACTTGTCTCAGGTAGTATGACATTTCATGAAAGCAAAGGGTAAAAACAAGGCAAAAATAAAAAAAACATGTTCATGAAAGCCGATGTGTGGCAAAAGCGCATGCTCGTAGTTACCAATCAAACTGCCAGTATCAAAGATGGCCGCCGCTGCCTCCTGCTGAGACGATGACGCCTTTAGTGCGCCGGTGCTCACGTGTTCTACGAGCGACTCCTCGGAGTGTTAGCCGGTGAGTGTGCTGATCTGGCGGCAGGGCGGGGATGTCCGTGTACCACGACGAGGTGGAGATCGAGGACTTCGAGTATGACGAAGACACGGAGACATATTACTACCCGTGTCCGTGCGGGGACAGGTTCGCCATCACCAAGGTAACAACAACCTGGACTATCCATTACAGGACTCTACCCATTACAATACACAGCGAGCTGGGCTCCCTGTACCATCCATTCACACAGACACAGCTGATTGGCCAAGCTGCCCACGGCAGCTGGAGAGCTATAGTATGGCACCATGTAACATACACCCTGTGCTGTGAACCTCACCCTGGCAGCATTTAGGTGAATGGCATGATCTGGGTAGGGCTTTTAATAAGTCCTAAAAAACTACTGTTTGAATAGCATGTCTGGTGTGACACGATTTTATATAAAACTGCACATTTGTTTTTATTAATGGACAAATAATTTGCACAATAATTTAGACATAAGTGTCAGTGACAGTTTGACAGATCTCCCCTCAATGTTTTTGTGTTCAGTGATAGAAAAGTGCAAGTTTCATTATAATGATGACAGGATGAAGGAACACAGTTTGCGTACATACCAAAACAATAGTGTCCCTGGCACAAATAATTGTGCAAAGTAGAAAAACGTAAGTCACCTTGAGTGCCACTGCATCAAAACTGGCAGTTCAGGTTATTGACGGTTTTCTACTTTGCACAATTATTTGTGCCAGAGACAGTTTTGTTTTGGTATTTGCACTTTATTTGTGGACAGCATTTCTGTCTACCAGTCAGCACCTCATTATTAATATATGTATTTTTTTTTGAATTGCGCTTTTGTCAGATATTTTGGTTATACATATTGTGTACATTAGATTAATTTTGCAACCCATTATTCTGTTTTAAAGGACCATTATATAGTCAGGAAACCTGTATTTCTGACACTGTAGTGTTTAACTATTTAGCTTACCGGCTCCCTGCGATCACATGGGAAAGCTGTTTTTACTCACTCCCCCCCACCCCCCCATCTGCACTGGTCTTGCCACAGCTGGCTCTGCCTTTATGGCTAAAATCATCAGTCTTGATGATCTTAGCCAATCCAATGCATTCCCATTGGGGAGGCTATTGCGCATGTGGTACAAAACACCACTCTGTGCCAGTCAGCATCTCCTCATAGAAATGCATTGAATCAGTACATCTCTGTGGATCATTTTATAGTGCCTCATGCACTATAGAGCGTGGTGATGCTGGACGCTACTGCACTGAGATAGGAAGCACATCTAGTGCCTGTCTGAGTGACTGCTGCTAGAGATGTTGCTAGGCAGTAATGTAAACACTGCTTTTTCTCTGAAAAGGCAGTGTTTACAGAAAAATGCATGCAAGGACAGGATATAGATGCCAGAACCACTACCGCAGTAGCTGTTCTGGTAACTATAATGTCACTTTAACAGTTACTCTTTAACAGTGTTATACGTTATAACAAAATGAATTCAGAAAAGCACCTTCACTAGATTATTCAAATGGTTTGAGAGGTCCTTCTATTACACCTAAGTGTAGCGCTGCTACACTGATTTAATGAATATGATTTGCATGTTTCAAGCTTTTTGGAACCTATCGATCTTAGGGACTCAGTTTGGGATCACAAAACAGGGTAATAATTACTACATTAAAGAACACTCCACATATAAAGCTCTTCAGCTTGCTTCTCATGGTGTTCTGTGTGTCTAGAGATTGTCATATTTGTGACCAAAGGTCTGCAGCTGTTGCAGGCCTTTTTTTGTTTGTTTCATATTCCCCAAAGAAAACATGCAGAATAAAATACATGTACAGTTTCATTAGGGATACATAAACTAAATGTGTTAAGTAATACCTTTTCAGTGGACTGCTCCTTTAAAAATATCTATACAACATATCCCAGTAACACAGAAATGATCAGTAGTGAGCCTGAATGTGTGAATTACAGAGTGGAGTAGAAGTACCCATGTGTGAGTGGGAGTAAAAAAAAGTACTGCAATGTATTTTGACTGGAACTTACTTAGTTCATGCTGTTTATGCTTATTTGCTTTTATATTTAAAGTAATACCTTTTTGTAAGTGATAATACTCCTCATTGTTTGTGGTGCAGGATTCCCCCATACTGTGGTCATTTGGGAAAATTGTTTGATTTCAATTTTACCATCTCTGTTTTGTTTATCATATTATTCCTAAAATAATATCATTTCTTTTTAGGAAGATCTGGAAAACGGAGAGGAAGTTGCCACTTGTCCCAGCTGTTCATTGATTGTAAGAGTTATCTATGACAAAGTGAGTAGCGAATGTGTGAAAATATTTTAGTAATTCATATGGATTGATTCATTTTAAAACTTGGATCTCCCCAACACCCCCGCACATTTTTTAATTAATTAAACAAAATGTATTACATGTTCTGTCAATTAACTTGTTAACTTGTTATAGCACTTAGTAAGCTTTTTGATGCACATTAATAGGTTTTCTTGAGTCTTTTGCTTAAAGGAACACTAACATTAGAAATACAAGCAAGCGTTTCTAACATAAAAGGGTTTCCCTGGCTTTTTTCGATTTTTGGGTTCTTAAAAATGTTTTAATAAAAAAAGCTTTACTAATAGTGATGTCCCGAACTGTTCGCCGAACGGTTCGCCGCGGACTCCAGTCAGCTGACACATTCCAGCCAATCAGCAGCAGACCCTCCCACCTCCTGGACAGCATCCATTTTGAAGCTGCATTCTTAGTGAGCTGTCCAGGAGGTGGGAGGGTCTGCTGCTGATTGGCTGGAATGTGTCAGCTGACTGGAGTCCGTGGTGAACAGGTCGCGAACCGTTCGGCGAACAGTTCGGGACATCACTATTTACTAACCTTTCTATGCTTGCTGTGCCAGTCTGCATCTGGCTGCTACTACACACAGGCTAAGATCATCATTACTCATGATATCAGCACATCCAATGCTTCCCCGTATGGGGCTATTGCGCATGCATAACAATTGCTGCGCCATGCTTATTAGCATCTCCTCATAAAGATACATTAATTCAATGCATCTCTATGCAGCGCGGTTGGCATCATTCAGAGCATAGCAATGCAGAAAATCTGTTCTGGAAAGATTGCAGTACTGCTTCCTAGAGGCGTTAGTAGGAAGCAATGTATATACTGCTATTTCTCAGGAGAAAAAAAGCACCCCCGGCTGACATCACAGGAGCTGAATGCGCATGTGCGGCAAGTGCTGCGCGCGCATTCAAAGTGTCCATAGGAAAGCATTTCTCAATGCTTTCCTGTGGACGCTCTGTGCGATGGAGGCATAATATGCCTCTAGTGAAAATCTACTCATAAACAGAACTATACATAGGATACAAGCTCACGCATTTAGACTGGAAGACTGGAGATTTAGTCTAAGACAAAGGAAAAGTGTTTTTTACAGTAAGAACGAGAAGCAGCAAATAATCTGTTTTAAGATGTGATTTTTATCAGTCTATACAGATGTTTTAACAGCAACTGGATGAATATTTGCAAAAACCTAAAATTCAGTGATATAATTTTGTAATATGTGGAAATAAAAATGTTTTTAATATAGGTCCATGGAAAGATCTGACTCCCTTTCTGGGGTTGAGAATTAATTATTTTCCTAGATTGTTGTAAAGTTGGCAAGTGCTTGTTTTTTTTGCCTTTTGGATCAACAGCAGTTGTGAAAAAGGCTGAACTTGCTGGACGCATGTCCTTTTTCAGCTTATGAAGCTATGTAACTATATGTAAAATACAAAGCCTACTCTTCTTTAAAATGCACTCTTTTTTTCTGTGTAGCAAAAATATATTAGTTTGCAATTGTTAAAGGAATACTGTACTCACTGTATCAACTTCATCGAATTGAAGCTGGTATAGTGTCTATGTCAGATCCCATCTTGTAAGTACCCTTAAAATGTTTTAGTTTAATGATTTGAAGGCTTGGAAGCAGACTTCAAGCCACGTTTACTTTAACTGAAGTGAACAGTACTTCAGATTATCATTCAGTTGCAAAAAAATTAAGTTAACGATCATTTGTAAATTTGCATTCTAACGAATGCTTTCAGTTCAGCATTTTATCAATATTGGTGCTCTGTGAATCTTCTGAATTATGTACTTTTGTTTAGGGTTCGGATGTAAAAACACTGACTTTAATCTGGGCCCCGGATTTGGGCGATTGCTGCAGATTCACTTGGGCTAAATATGAGAATTGCCATTGCATTTGGAATTCAGTCATTTTCAGTGTTTAATGAATAACCCTGTTCGGTATAAATCTCAAACCCTTGTGTTAAACCTTTTATTTGTTTGCTTATAGGAGGAATTTATGCAAGGAGAAATAGTAGCTGAACCGTTGCCAAAGAAAGCAGAATTGGTGAAGTGCTAAATATCTTCGTTATTGATCTTTTAGTGACCCTGAGCAGATCTCCAAGTTTGGACACTCACCGTTTGCCTTTATCTCTGGGAAAACTGTATGGATCAATACACTTCAACTGACTTGTAACTGGATTAAGCTGTTTTATTAATGCTGGAAACACCTGAATAAACAATGACACTCCTATAATTGTGTCCTGAAAAGACACAATTGGGCCATGGATTGGACAGGAACTGCCAAATTATTACAGATGTGGCATATAAACCTCACATAATATGAGAGGTGTTGCATTCAAACACAAATTGTCACCATATTATTATAGTTGGTATTTTCATGTTCTGTACTGCTCTCTTCTCAGCATGTTAACAGGAGTGGATATTTAAATTTTTATTTTTTTTCTTGCAAGCAAATGCTTTTTGTTGTATATCGAAGCTGAAACACAAAAGCTATTCTTTGGGATTTTGTTTTCTGTTATACAGATTTTAAACATTTACCCTGTTTATATTTCCCTCTAAACTGATGCAATTTCATTTTTTTTTTTAATCTAGAAAGATGTTTTATAGTAAATACTGTTGTTGAACAAACCCCTTTCACATCTCATTTGATACAGATGGAGCTGTACTTTGATGTATGTCACTGCAAGTTTGTTTTGAGGTTTATGTCATAGACAGACTGTACACAGTGCTGTCTATAGGTTAATCACAAGTTTGTTTAACCACATTCAAGCAATAGATCTGCTAATATTTTTTTAACATTTAATCAGGCTTTATTCTAACACACTTTAATTGCCATGCTTAGTGGCAACCACCACTCAAGCCTCACTTTTTATTCTTTCCCCTTCCCCCTATAATATTAAGTGGGTTGTTTCTTGTAGGCCCTGGTAAACATCATGTTTTATACTTTGTTTAAACTACAATTCCCATGATGTCTGTGAAAGTAACCATTGACTTGTCCAATGTAGCTTAAAGTCAATTGAACAGCTTGAGGTTGGCTACTCATGGTCTGCTTATTTTGTAAGAAGCAAAATAGATAGTTTGTCATGTATGTATGTTTACTATGGGCTTAGAAATAGATTGTAAGATTTTAAAAGAGTGCATAGGATGTTTTCTCTTGTCCTGGAGTCTACTTCTGTTTAAACATGTTTACAAATCCAAGAAAAGGATCAGAAAAATGAATTTTCAAGAAAATCTTGAGTTCTCCCGAATGGTGCCATTCTAAAAAGATCATGTTGCAGCACCCTACTTAATTAGTAATGTTCACTCAATGTGTAGTTGTTTGAAAGCCAAGCAATCCATATCTGCTAGAGAAAGGTTAACAGACTGGGCTAATTAATTCCAATTGCAGACATCAAGTGTGCAAAACTGTCAAAAAATATTTATTGATCTATATTTTTACATGTATTTATATTGAAAACCAATAAATAAGATCAGATTTTATGAACTCATTTTGCTGTGCCCTTTTTTTTATTTTTTTATTTAGTTTTTCTCCTTTAACTTTAATAGACTGATTTGTGAACATGTACCTTTTTTTTTTTTTTTTTGAGAGAGAGTGTGTGTGTGTGTCCTTGACAAAAAATAGCCGACTGGGGTGAATTAATCATCTGTTCATGAAAGTTGTAATACCTGTTGTATCAATACTTGCATTCATATTTGGCAACATGCTGCCATTTCTCAAAGGTTTGTAATTGTAAAGAATGTAGGTTTAAAAAAAAAAGCTCTAGGTATGTAATTATCTGCCTGCTAATTCTTGCTGGTACATTTATTACACTTAAAGGGACATGCATCACTTTGATACAACTGTAGCGGTAGCTTTGAATGACACAGTTGCATCACTCTGCAGGCTAAATAAAAGCTAGTAAATATGCTGCTTCCTTTTTTTTTTTTATTTTTTTTTTTAAATCTTTTATTTGTTTACCTGCTTCTTTTTTTTATGAATACTGAAAGTGTATTGGGCATGCCTGACAGATTTACACGTGCAACTGGAAGATTTATTCATCTTGAAACATCCTGACTGAAAGAAGAGAGGGAGTCTGATCAGTATGATAATGCTCTGGTATCTGGTTTCTCTTTCTGGCTGCCACACAATGATTACCTGTTTCTGTCATTAGTGGAATGGTCTGAAACTGTGATGGTAAAAGGGACACTAGGCACCCAGACCACTTCAGCTCATTGAACTGGTCTGGGTTTGATGACCCTGCCCCCTTAAAGAGACACTATAGTCACCAGAACAACTGCAGCTTATTGTAGTTGTTCTGGTGAGTATAGTCAGTCCCTGCAGGCTTTTTAATGTAAATATTGCCATTCCATAGAAAAAGCAGTATTTACATTACAGTCTAGCAACATATCTAGTGACCACTCTTCAGACAGCCACTAGAGGTGCTTCCTTGGTCAGCACTGACGTTTAACGTCTCTGCATTGAGTCAATGCGTCTCTATAAGGAGATGCTGATTTGCCAGGGCAGCATTTTCCCCCTCTCCCTGCAATAATTACATTGCAGGGTTAAGGCTGCCTCTAGTGACTGTCAATCAGACATCCAATAGAGGCATTTCCTGCATACTAGGTGACTTGGTTGCCTAACTGACGCTGGATGTCCTTATGCTCTGCAGGGCGATTGCTGCTAGAATCAGATAAGTACAGTAACCCTTACATTGCTGGGGAGAGTAGGGGAGAGAGCGGAGTATAGTGTTAGGAATACAGATTTTTATTCCTAGCCCTATAGTATCCCTTTTTAGTTAGGGAGCAGTGATAACTTAAACACCCCTCGATTCTATTTCAGAAAAAAGACTTCTGTGTTGCAAGGGTGGCGACTCTATACAGGTTGACTTTAAAGGGACACTCCAGGCACCCAGAACACTTCTGGCCATTGGAGTGGTCTGTGTGCCAACTCCCATCACCCTTAACCCTGCAAGTGTAATTATTGCGGTTTTTATAAACTGCAATAATTACCTTGCAGGGTTAAGTCCTCCTCTAGTGGCTGTCTAACCAGTCCAGGATTTAGGGATTACCTGGGTGTGTGTAAGGTGTTTTTTTTTTGTTTTGTTTTTTTTCTTCCTTTTTCTAAACACCTTAGACACACCCAGGTAATCTCGAAATCTTGGACTGATAGGATGTCATTGAGGACTGGGTTGAGAACCCATGCACTAGAAGGAATATTGTTTTATCATTGTTCAGCATTAAAAAACTTTTGGTTGAAGGTACAGGCACTCATTGAGCGTACTATGACATTGTTGCTCCCCCATAGCCCAGAGATTTATTTGCTTCACATGTTGCCTACAACCTTTCCGAAACATGCTGTTACATTAGCTGTGCACATCTCATTGGTATCAAAGTCATGCATAGCGTGACTATCTCCTAATAGTCCTGATATTAGGTTAGTTACAGAGAAAATAAACCATACCAAAGCATGGGGACAATTGCAAGAAGAATTACTGGTGGGGCGCTGCAGGGATATAAAATAGGAGAGGAGAGGCGGACGATCTCCCGATCTGGAGGTGTCTAGACATTGCTACCTGCGAACATACGCTCTGTTACCTCCCCCTTGGACCGGTGGGGTTGATCCCGATCCACTCCTGGCGGGGCCACCCGAACTTGGCGAGAAGGAGTGGTGAAGCCTCCAGCAGTTCACACAGGACAATCACTAATGCCATGGATCCTGTATCGCACGCAAGCGCCAGGTTTGAAAAACCTGCAACACCTCCTCATGACACCGGACACTGAAGGGCATAAGCTGAGTGGAGCTGGGACTCATGGCTCTCTAATTTGTTTTCCTCCTCATGTTTTTAGTCATAGGGAGACATAAATTTTGCTTTGTTAGCCATTGTGGTATCGAATATAATTTTGTATTACTCACCTATGGACCTACTGGGCTTCACGCTATTCCATCGCCCCTCAATTTAAATTATTAGGGAACCCTCCTGGGAGGCTCACACTGTCAGTTAATCTATAATTTACCATAATGTCATAATACTTTTCCACAATGCAATAATTCAAACTCAAGCATGTCGTACTACAATGTTTCTCACCTTATCTTATCATTCAGGTCTAGCTACCTTAACCTTGGCTAACGTCTTTCAACAATGTTTAGATATGAAAATAAATCCTTTATATGTCAGTTTTATGTAAAATTGTACATGGTTCTCAAATGCCTTATACCTGTTTTTCTCTGAAATAGGTTTTGCTTGCATATACTGTTGGGGCATTCCAAGCTTTGTGTTGTCTTTTCTGCACTACAAAAATAAAGAATTATATATAAAAAAAAAATAAAAAAAAGGTATCTTTGTCCAGGTTTGTTATTTTTATTGGATTCCTATATCATATGGTAGATGCCTCCCCTGGTTTAAAATTAGGTTATAAGAACCTCCGTTTTCCTGTTTGCCCTGCTCTAGCTGTGCTTGCGGCTTCAGGCTGGAGGAGATGAAGATTGCTGTAACCATGGCTCTCTTGAGATTGTCTATGGGACCATTGTGAATGACTTGCTGCTACACATTTAGGCTTTACCCTACGATGCTTTATTTTTGGTCGCATGTTCCAGTCCTGGGTTTTTGGATCTGTGATTTTCCTCTTCTGGTAATAGCTTGATATTGATTTAAAGTATCAGTGTATGTATGTATGGAACAGTACTAGAGATAGTTCATCAAAAGATGAAATACTGAGAAACGTAGCATCTTTTAAATCCCAGGAAACCCAAACATTGTGCAGTTTACATTAGAGCCACTAGAGTGCAGTGTTACAATATCATTCTTTAACCATATTTATACTGTGTTACAGTTGTACTTTTTTTCTGTATCAACCATTTTAAAATTGTTCCATGTGGAACACACCTTTAAAAAAAAAAAAAAAAAAAGGAAAGAGTTTTGGGTCTACATAGTGGGTGTGATGAGACCAAATGTGAAGTTTTTTAAAGTCTTAAAGGGATACTCTTGGCACCATAACAACTTAACCTCAATGAAGGCACCATGTTTCTTTAATTTAAACATTCTTGAACAGTTTAGCATTCAAGATGTTTCCCTAGGCGCCGATTGGCAGCTCACCTCTAATGGGCTAATGGGTAAACAATAGCTTGGGGGCAGCAGTGATTGGCTGAGATCATTAGGTGACACATTCAGTCTATCACTGGCCACTAGTGATGTCCCGAACAGTTCGCCAGCGAATAGTTCCTGGCGAACATCGCTTGTTTGCATTCGCCACAGATGGCGAACATATGCGCTGTTCGGTCCGCCCCCTATTCGTCATCATTGAGTAAACGTTGACCCTGTACCTCACAGTCAACAGACACATTCCAGCCAATCAGCAGCAGACCCTCCTTCCCAGACCCTCCCAGACCCTCCCACCTCCTGGACAGCATCCATTTTACATTCATTGTGAAGCTGCATTCTTAGTGAGAGGAGGGACAGTGTAGATGCTGCTGATTTGATAGGGAAATTTATAGCTAGGCTAATGTATTCAGTGTCCACTACAGTCCTGAAGGACTCATCTGATCTCTCTGACCTCACTACCCCCCACACCCTCAGCCTCACTACCCCCCACACCAACCCCAGCCTCACTGCACCCCACACCACCCTCAGCCTCACCACCCCCAGCCTCATTACCCCCCACACCACCCTCAGCCTCACTACCCCCCACACCACACCCAGCCTCACTACCCCACACCACCCTCAGCCTCACTACCACCCACACCACCCTCAGCATCACCCCCACACCCTCAGCCTCACTGCCCCCACACCCTCAGCCTCACTACCCCCCACACCCTCAGCCTCACTACCCCCCACACCCTCAGCCTCACTACCCCCCACCACCCTCAGCCTCATCCCCCCACCACCCTCAGCCTCACTCACTCACCCCCCACCACCCTCAGCCTCACTACCCCCCACCACCCTCAGCATCACTACCCCCCCACCACACTCAGCATCACCACCCCCAACCACCCTCAGCCTCACTACCCCCAACCACCCTCCACCTCACTACCCCCACACCACCCTCAGCATCACCATCCCCCACACCACCCTCTGCACCACCACCTCCAGCCTCACTACCCCCCACACCACCCTCAGCATCACCACCCTCAGTATCACCACCCCCAACCACCCTCAGCTTCCCCCCACCACCCTCAGCATCACCAGCCCCCACCACCCTCAGCCTCCACCCCACCACCCTCAGTGGTAACCCGTGGCAATGCTCTGATTGCCCAATTCTCGCGAGACACATGGTCTGCAGCTATGCTCACTGCGGAGCTGAAGACCTGTGTCTGCGATGGTGGCTGGGCAGCCAGGAGGGGCCTCGCACCCGGCGGCATACCGGGCAAGCCGCGGACCCCCCTCCTGGTGTCAGGTCCTCGGTCATTGACTAATTAGAGAGCCGCCTCTGTTTGCAGTTGTTTGCGGTGCGTTAAACGGGGAGTTTGGTCTGTCACTGTAAAGCAGGCTTAACCCTTATACTACCTGATCGATACAAAATCATACCTGATGTAAAGCACGTTATTCCAAACAATTTAGGAATGTTAGGTGATTTATGCCCTTTATGGATTAAAACCAGACTCTGCATCAACTATGTAATTTTCCATGGGAGTTTTGCCATGGATCCCCCTCCAGCATGCCACAGTCCAGGTGTTAGTCCCCTTGAAACAACTTTTCCATCACTATTGTGGCCAGAAAGAGTCCCTGTGGGTTTTAAAATTCGACTGCCTATTGAAGTCTATGGCGGTTCATTCGGTTTGCCCGTTCTCGAACATTTGCGGAAGTTCGTGTTCGCCGTTCGCGAACTGAAAATTTTGTGTTCGCGACATCACTACAAGCCACCCACTCGTGAGTAAATGTATGTACGTTTCTATCCTTATGATGGGTGGCAAGTGATAGGTTAAAAGTAGCAGCTTCTGGTTCTGTGTCCGTTGTAGCGTAGGCAAGTAGTGCCGACCGCACTTAAATCAAAGTGTTCTAAATTAATATAACTTCTTACAATGCTGGGGGTTCAGGGGCACCAGGGCACTCCGAATATCATTGCTGGGGGACTCCAGGCACCATCACAACTTAATTGAGATGTTTCTGTGGCAGCCACTACAGTATTGTTCTCTGACAAATGTAACCATTGCCAATACTCAGCAGTTTTTGTAAGTTTATCAGACTATTACACAGTGCAGTGATAGGGTGTTTGCACCAATACCACCATATTCAGATCTAGTTTTTTTAGTATTTAGAGTGCTCCTTTAATGTAAGGGGGGAAAAAAAGTAGAGTTGTCTATACAATGTTTTTTGCATTTAGTTGACATATTTGAAAAAGGTCTGTCTACATTTTGGAAAACCAGGGGATTCTTGACTCTAATGGCTAATATGGAAATCTGCCCATTTTCAGTCAGAAAGATTTATTTTCTCTTCCTGGAGCGTAGCTTGAAGTTTTTTTTATTAATCAACAGCAGCAACAGGAATGTGTACAAGGTTAAATGTGTGTTTTGAGTCTTTTTTAGCCTATGGTACTATTTATTTATAGCAAGCACAAAATTACTTTGGCTTGTTATTGCATCTGGCCAAGCAACACACCTTTAAAACGTATTATGTATATAATAATTTGATTCAAAGCAGGATTTACAATACATTGACCCATAAACATCTGACTAGTTATGCAAATAATAGATATCTGCACAAGAAGGCCTGCTGCTTAAAGAGTTACTCCAAGCCATCACTTCAGTGATGTGAAGTGGTCATGGTGCTTGCAGTCTATGTGTGCAACATTTTTGTCTTCCTGGTTGTATTGGCAATGCCAGTAGTTTAAGCCACAAAACAGAGCAAGGAAGGCTGCAGGGTGGCTTACTGGGACCCATGGAGGACCCAGAGTGAGTGTATTCATGTGTGTCGTGTGAATGTGTGTCTGTGTTTATGGATATCCTATAGACTGTTCAACCTATCGTTCCTGTAAGTTTTCTTGTAATTGTCCTATGGATTGTTAAATCCCCCCTCATAATATTGTAAAGCGCTACGGAATCTGTTGGCGCTATAAAAATTGCAATAATAATAATAATGCGTGTCAATCTGGATGTATCAGTATGTATGTGTCTGTGTGCCAGTGTACGTGTGTTTCTGTGTGTGTCTGCATGCAAACACTAACATCTCACACAAACACACCGCTGCATGTCAACACCAACATTAAACAGAATCACTCTCCTGCATTCAAACACACCACTGCATTTAAACACCAAAACTGTATACAAATATTGCCTTGCATGCAAATCCCACCACTGCACAAAAACACACCCTTGCATTGAAACACCAACGCTATAAAAACACACTCTTCATGCGAATGCTAGCTCTACAAACACAGCTCTGCATCCATACAACAATGCTACACACAAATACAGTGGGACCTCGGTTTACGAATTCAATGCGTTTTCCGGGACGCTTCTTATTGCGAATAATTTGTACACCGTAGGAATGCATTGAAAACCAATTAATCCGTTCTGGAGGTCAATAAAAAGTCAAATTGAGCTGGCATGGAAACCAACCCACAATGCAGAACACTCAATAAAAGGCATGCAAACGACGAAGCTCAGCTCACTACCTTTCCACAGCTTGAAAAACGCACCAAAAAGTCCCAAAACAACTGCAAACAATTTCCAGAATGGCTCCAAAACTCGATGCAAAAGGGGCTCCAACACCTTCACACTCAACGCCACGTGCTACCCACAGGCTCCAGCATGCAGGGGGTGGTGCTATAAACCTCCCAGGTGCAATGCATCCTGGGGAAACTTGCTTTGTATTGAGAAAAAAAATTGTAAACCAAGGCATTATTTTCCATGGATTTTCATTTGTAAACCAAAAATTATGTTAACCGAGACATTTGTAAACCGAGGTCCCACTGTATAACCGTGTATTCAACCATCAGCATTATACAAATCCACAAACATTCTCACATATTCCATACAAAAAAAGACATTAATTGAAAGGCAGTGAACAAAAATACAACCCTTCAAGGGTGGACATACAGCAGATAAACAGCTGGCAAAGCATTGTGAGAGTTGTTTGCATCAGGGTTCTCTCTTTGTTCTACCACTGAGCATGCATGGTATGCCAGGTATCAGACTGCCAGGAGAACTTTGGTGGATCTAAGGTACATTTTTCCCTTTTTTTTTTTTCTTGTCCTTTTGGTGAGGACCAAAAACTGTTGTTGTTTTTTTTAATTAAATCACTGTTCTTGTTGTGAGTATTCCATTAAGTAGCAACTACCCCATGATTGTTTTTGTCCACAATTCTTAGCCTCATAAGTAAAAAGTTCTAGAAAACGTTTGTCAGCAATACCAAGCAGAATTAAGGAAGGAAAGATGATTCCTGTGCTCTGGATTGAAGGGAATGAGGGACTGGGATTTAAAACACTGTGTAAGAGAAAAAGAGAAAGGTCAGGAACTGAAAACATATAGAGGAAAGAAGGGGATCCAAGAGAATGAACCCTCGTCAGGAGGGGAGAGGAGGGCTGGAGTTAAAAAACATCAGGATGGATTAATGTCAGACGGTATTTGTTTTATTATTTATTACATAATATTTGAATGGGATAAAGATTCTATGTGTCAGGAACAGAAGTGTTATGAGAAGCTAAGAATAGTTTGTTTGTTTTTTACAATTTTTACAACCAATTACAGACTAAGCTAACATTACAGTACCTACGATCTTAATTTTTATCATGGCAGGAGGCAAGCATTTTGCTTTTCTCTCTTTACTGTACTCCAAACAGCAGCTCAGATCAAACATAGAATATCCAATTTAAAACCATAGTAGGTCATATAAGATCATGCCTACATTAGCACCTCCTCTTTCTTTAATGCATAAAAACAATTGTAAGGAAAGATAACATAAACAGAAGCAGTCAAAATAACCAAGACAATGGTATAATGGGACTGCCTGGTAGTTCCCGACTTTACAAAATAATTGGTTCCGAAGCCTAGTACATTAAGGGAGAGTTCATAAAGTGAGAACTAATTTCCCATAGACCGCAATGTAATAAACATGGGATTAAGGAGAGAGGGCAGGTAACTTTTTTCCTTTGGTTTTTACTATATGCATTAGCTGATGTGTGCTGTGGTCATTGCTGCCACCCAGGAGTGATGGGAGTGAGCGCAGGACTTTTCTTTTTGTATTTGTATTCACTTTTTGTATCACACAGCCTTGTTACAATGCTGCCGCCCATCCCATGTGTTCCCTATTAAGGGTTAATAAGTATATAGGGGTGTATATAAAAAATACCCCTTTCTGTCTCATTAGAGATATCTTTGCCAGAAGCTCAAGGAAGCAAGGTGAAAGGTCTGTGTAGGACCCGTCTAGGGGGGTCTGCCTTGACGTTGGCAGGCGGGCATTCCCTCCAGTGGCCATTGGAGTAACTAAATTACCTCCATTTGTTTAACTATACATAGGGATTAAGGAGAGAGCGCAGGTAACTTTTTTCTTTGACAGTTTGCACTTGTTGAATGTAGCACTGCACTTGTTTCTGGTTTGTTTGAGACGCTCCATGTGTCTCATTCCCCTTCCCAGTGTCTCATTACACCCTCCCAGCCCCTCCAGGTGTCTCATTCCCCCTTCTAGTGTATCACTACCCCCTCCCAGTGTCTAATTTCCCTTCCCAGTCCCTCCACATCGGCTCCATAAGGTAGGGAGCAATAAAGAAAAGTATGTGTGTGTCTGTCAGCAAGTATGTGTGTGTCTGTCAGTGTGTGTGTCTGTCTGTCAGCAAGTATGTGTGTGTCTGTATGTGTGTGTCTGTCAGTGAGTATGTGTGTCTGTTTGTGAGTATGTGTGAGTGTGTCTGTATGTGTGTGTGTCTGTCAGTGAGTGTGTGTATGTCTGTCTGTGAGTGTGTGTGTGTCTGTCAGTAAGTTTGTATGTGTGTCTGTGTGTATCTGTCAGTGTGTCTGTATGTGTCTGTCTGTCTGTGAGTATGTGTGTGTGTGTGTCTGTCTGTGAGTATGTGTGTGTGTGTGTGTCTGTTAGTGAGTATGTATGTGTGTGTCAGTCAGTGTGTGTGTCAGTGTGTGTGTCTGTCTGTCAGTGAGTATGTGTGTGTATGTGCGGCTTACATAAACTTAAACCTTGTTTATGTGGCCCGTGCCACACTTTGAATTTGACATGCTTGCACAAGAATATCTCTAGCAATGCCGATTGAGAAACTTACCTTCCTGATTCCAGATTTCAATGTAAAACTATGGCAAAGACATGGTATTACATCCTTATATCAACTAGTTCACGAAGGCAAACTTGAAGAGTACACACAACTACAAACACAATATTGCTTATCAAACATCGCCAGATTTTCATATAAAAGATAAAATCATGGTTTTACAAAACCATACAACCATGCAATACATCGGTACATAGGTCAACAGCTGATGGACAAGGAAAAAATAAGCCTGAAATTAAACCCCCCCTAAGAAATTCATCTCACTCTTATACTTAGCCGCACATAACTGCCCAATTAGCGACTACAACCCGTACATACATAAATGGAAAAAAGATTTAAAAGTGGAATTTACCACTTCCAAAAGAGAGCAATACTCAAGGCTCACAAGCATCTCACCCTATGCAGCTCCCACATGGAGCTCTCCAGAAAAATACTGTACAGGTGGTATATGGTCCCCACCAGACTAAAATATCTTGACCCTCTCAGATCAGACACGTGCTGGTGATGCTGGGAGCAAACAGGCTCAATGGTTCATGTCTGGATGTCGTGCCCACGTTTAGCCCAGTACTGGGCGGATATTGCCAAGATGATCTGCGCAAGTACCAGAGTAGGTTTACCAAACACACCAGAAACCTTTCTATTGCTAGTATTCCCTGGAAAAAACTCCAAATATCAACTATGTCTAATATACCATATAATAATAGCAGCACTGACCATAATTAGCCGACACTGGTTACAAACCACCCCCCTAAACCACTCCCCCAGGAATGTATAGATTAAATAAATATAACAAAACACTATGAAATCATGACATGAAAGGCACTACCATCCTCTAAATTTTGGGTGGAAGCATGGGAGAGATGGGACCAATGCACAGAATCAAACAATACCTAACGTTCAAACTGCAAAGCCAACCTCCATGTCAATTGATGCCAAACTTCAGAGGACCGACTCCAACAGCTTTGTTCATCCCACCCAACACAAATGTACAAGGTAATTCTTTGGAAGACAAAGATGAACTTAGTATATGTTACACAATGTTTTCAATAGCAACCTGGTACCAACCAACTAACCAGATAAACAAACCAGGCCCCAGACAAAGGCCTAGTACCCTAGATCGAATACTCTTTGCTCCATATCCAGATGAAATGCAAACTTCATGTTCGTTCATGTTTGTACAGAGCTAGCCACACAACCTACACCAAGGAACCTAACCTCGGGACCGGAGTTACAACTCTAGTATGTATCTCAACCATGAGCCTAAACCATTATATTGTACCCAGTACCTGGGAAGTTCAGAGACTTCTGAATGTACATTTCATGTTTTTTTGGCTCCGATGATGTATAATGCCATAAGCATATTCAATGGTGAAAATGTAACATGTAACATCCCTTTTTCCTTTCTGTACCCTCTTCTTGAAAACCAATAAAAAGTAACACACACAAAAAAGATAACCAAGACGATTAAGCATGTAACAGCGTTTATAGAAACCACAGAACTGGCAGTAGAACCAAAAACAAGAAGAACAAGTGGAGCTTAATGGTAGCACCATTAACGTGGAGGGAGACAGAAACAGGAGTGGCAACACTTGAGGGAGGAAAGACCAGAAATAAAAATGTTTAAATATTTCTTTGCAAGTCCAGTTGGCAGAATACATGATATCCACAAGGGAGGCACGCACTGAAAAAGCAAGTGTTGTTGCTGCACCCTGAACCAAATGAGCCCTGGAAAGAGGGTCCACTTCCACTAATGTAAGAAGTCAGAGAACCGAGCTCACAAAAGAAGTCGAGAGAAACAGGTTTATGAAGTTCAACATACCAAAGGAGGAGTTGACCCATATAGACCAACGCAAAGGAGTGGTAACCTCATTGTAATATAATAGAACCTTGACGCAAAGTTGAGGAATGTTGTGAAAAAATGGGTAGAAAAACATAGTTAAATGTAATCAAGTAAGAAAAGAAAGTAATGCAATCCAGAGAAAAGGAGAAACCATCTACATCAAAAGTTTGAATGTCCGAAACTGACGGAAAGATGAGACATATTAAAAGAGTGAGTTTGCAGAGAGCTGTTGGATAAACAAAGTTGTATTATCTAGCCAGTCTTACAAAAAAATTAAATACCATATCTGCATCCCAAAGAGGAGTGTACTTAGGTTCCAGAGGATGTGATAACTTGATACCCTGAAGAAGATGACCAATCAAGGGATCTTGACCCAACAGGAATTTTATGAATAGGTATGTGAGCAGTAAAAATAGCTGACCTCATCAAGCTGACAGAACAATATGAATGACCTAAAATAAACAAATGTGACAAAAAAATTCAGAATGACAGTGACAAGAGCAGTAAAGGATCAAAGTTCCCTCCAAACACCAGTTACTCCAGGAACTCCATGTACAGAGATAGCATAGTCTTGTACCTGGAGCCCATGAATCCTTGAGTAAGTCCTTAGTCACCTGTGATAGACTGTCGAGATTTCATGAGCCCCGTCCACGCCACCAAAGGTGCAGTATAGGGGAGCAGGAGCGGAACCATTGGTAGGATAAGAGGGTCCTTGTGAGATCACTCGAGAAGATCTGGGTACCAGGTTTGGCTCTGCCAGAAAGGAACAATAAGGAGAAGGGACGCCTGTTGGGAGCTGTTCTGATGAAGTACTCTTACCAATATCAAGAATGGTGGGAAGGCATAACCCCCTCAGGCTGCCCAGTCTTGCAAAACATCTTCCTTGTGAATGATTATTAATATACAATTAATAGTTAGCAAATCACATGTAACTGGATAAAGAATCCTTGTCAATGGCCATAATTAAATTTCACAAATTTTATTGAAATTAACATTTACAGGGTTATTTACCAAGGTGAATTCAAAGTGAATTTGATATTTAAGGCCAGAGTAGCTGGACTGAAAGCACAATTGACTTAGAGAATTTTTCCAATGCAACTATTTTGACATTAAATTTGAAATTCTCTTTTAATTCACTTTGATTTAACACTTTATTGAATAACCCTGTCACTATTTCCTGTAATGGTTTATATTTAATAAAGATTTCCAAAAAAGCCCTTCAGAAATATTAATTATGTTTATCTTGAAATTTTATAAGTGACTAAGTATACCAATGTGAGCAGCCAACAATTCTGGGAAATCTCATTGCCACTAAGTAACACAGATTATTTAGGATATTAACATAATCTATGTTTCAAAGCAGCCTATAAATATCTTCAATGGAACAGCCTACTGGAAGAAATCATCCACACATGTTAATTGGTAGTTTGCCAGATTGCAATAAAGTTATTGTATGAATAAGAACAAGAAACACAGTGATTAGAAAAATGTCTCTCTGTTCCACTTCCTTCAATATATGTTTGTTGACCATATTATTAAACTATTCCAACAATTATATCATGTATTAGTCCTCTGCTATTTAGTGTTCTAATTCCAAATTAGATCCTGTATGCAGTACAAACAATACCCCACCCCTCATCTTCTACCAAACAGATGATGAGATGAGAACTGTATTTTCTTGTTGTTTCATAACTCCTTGTATTCGGAAGACAGAAAATGTCCCTGAATTGTCTCCAGGAATGCATGCTCAATTTAGGTCTAAACCTCTCTTACATCATGATTTACAATCTAGATTTTCGATATAGATATGCCTTAGACTGGAATGACTACTTCATAGAAATTAAAATAAATTAGGTCCAGGCATTTAGGATTGCTGCAGGAAGGCAGGTTTATTGGAACAAAAAGTGCAACGTTTCGGCCTACACAGGGGCCTTTATCAAGATTGATAAAGACCTCTGTGTAGGCTGAAACGTTGCACTTTTTGTTCCAATAAACCTGCTTTCTTGCAGCAATCCTGAGTGCCTGCACCTAGTTTATCTTATCTACTAAATTGGGTTTTGCCAACCCTGGCCCTAAGCACGTGGATTCCCAAGTGTTAGTGCGGTATCCTCCGTTTGTAAATTACTACTTCTTTGTCTAACAAGTTCTTGAAACATGAGTTTTCCCCTGAAATCAAACACCAGTGTTACACAGTGAGCACATCAAATGAAAAGAAATATATGTAGGCAATGTAGCAAGATGTTAGCATAATAACGTGGAGGCAATGTGGCATATGGTCATAATAATATAGCTTGCAATCATATTTGTATTATATCAAAACATGGCAATACAGTTTCATTACCCACGAGAGAGAGGTTGTGACAAAAGAATCTTGAAACAATTATGGTTTACAATTGCACAAGCATTCAGTGCTCACATACTTTTGTAACAGGAATTTTTTTTTAAAATAAATTATTTCTGCACAAGCCAACTACTAAAAGTTAGAGGGAACGTTGATTGAAAGTATAACATGACTAAGAATTGGTATCCTCAACCTACATCTCTTTCTTCTACAATTAACTTGTCCCACAAGGTTAAGCTGCAGAGCTTCTGGAATCATGGAGGTGTACCCATACGGGGGACTCACTAAATCACATATATAAGAAAATGCTCTGCCAAACTCAATGGAAGAACAAGTACTCTTACAAACATATTACTATTGTTAGCTATCGCACTATCAGGGTTATTCACTAAAGCAAGAATTCAAACTGGACACTTTAATAATTAAAAATAAAAAAATTGATACCGCACTAAACATGAAGAAAGTATAAAGATTTATTAGCAGAACATTGCCATATACCTGAATACAACTCCAATTTCTATATCACGAGAGTGAAGATATATAATCTTAAAGTGACAAGTGCCAAAAAATTACCAAGTGCTTAGTATGTGCTTAAAGTGCTAATATTAATAAAATAAAATATCAACGTTCCTATAGGTACAAATCTGTATACAGCAAGATCAATCACAAGATAGTAAGTGATTATTCCTACGGAAATCCCATCCAGTATACAGTAATTCCTGTAGGGAAATAATCTTGTTTGCAGTTCACTAGTTGCTTTGTGTTTAGTTAATTCCATCAAGAAAAGATAACTCAACAAAGAATGAATTTCAGCAGTGATCATATTTGATGTAACATACATTGGTTGTACTGTATACTATAGTAAACAATGTTTGCAGCACAAGAATTCCACGTAGCAAAAAGATGAGAGCAAACAGGCAATATCTCCCTATATTGCAAAAAGATGTGTATACATCCAAATAATTTTATTTACACATGAGGTATATAAAAAATATATATATTTATAGAAAAGGAAAAAAAAAGGAAACATTTTTTAAAAAATGAAAAAAAGAGAAAAACAGTCCAAATGTATATATATATCCTGGCAGGAATGTGGGTTAGATCTCACCCCTGATGTACTGCATCTTTGACTCCTAAATCTAGGAAAGTATGGAGATAGGTGTAACGTCCAATTCCTATGGCTTTATACAGTTCCAGTTGTGTTTGGCTGAGTGTGATAGGTAAAGATCCTGGGCTTGGTATCTTGGCCAGACCCTCAGACCAAAAAATGAAATATCCAAAATACAAAAATTGATACTGCACTCAACATGAAGAAAATATAAAGATTTATTAGCAGAACATTGACATATACCTAATTACAACACGTATAATCTGATTGAGTGCTAACACACTTTGTAATTTTTCACTTTAATAATTAACCCTGCATATCTCTAAGACATTGGTCACATCTTGGTTTCACACTCTTGGACACAACAGTCCAGCATAGTCCAGTAGTAGTATTGTATACCCTGTGTTAAAGGGACAATATAGGCTTTAAAACAGCTTTGGGTTAATAAAGTAGTTTTCTGTGTATAGATCATGGCCTTGCAGTCGCACTGCTCAATTCTCTGCCATTTAGGAGTTCTGGTGGCAGCTCACTAAATGTTCAGGCACACTTAGGTGACACGGCGAGATGATGGCCAACATGTGGAGGCCTGCGTGGCATTCAGAGGGGATCAGGGAGTGCCAGTGAGAGGGAAGATTGGATAGGTAGATAGGAGTGACTGCAGTATAGCCAAGATGGCGCCCAGACCCATTCCCTCCTTTATAGCCACAGGGGGGGCTCTCCTTATAAATACCCAAGCACTGATGGGTCAGTGCTTGGTTGTTCTGGTTCCTCATTACAGGTTCCTGATTCTTGTTACCTGAATCATGGTAACTTCTCTGCTTCTGACCTTTGGCTTTATCGCTGTCCTCGCTCTCTTGTCTCTCACCTTTGATCTCTGACTATTGGCTTCTGACCTTCG